TAAGTAGAACAGGGAGGAGTATTTTAGTGGCCTTTTCAGATAATTGTAGATATCTTTCTTGGATTCTGCACCAAAACTGGACAAATAATGGTTTCTCAATGTTAAACAATGTGGAATCTGAAACCATATCAGTCAGCTCTTGGTATCCTGCTACATTAAAATACATTAGTCAATTTGCATTATGCCTGGGTCTTTTACACATATATGATTTAGTTCTGAAAACAGTGACTCATTGAATTAGATCATCATCAAACATTAACATTTATTACATAATATTGTTGACATCTGTTAATATTACCACAGATTGCATCAAAGTCTTTTAAGAAGTATCAAGAAACTGAGAAGCTATCAAGCTCACGATGGCAGATACAAGTTTTCCTATATATTTTTTTTTCTTTAAAGTTCAAATTTTATCCTTGGCAACAAATACTGTCAGTTATTTTTCCTGAAGTGACAGCTTACTTCATTCATTTTTAAGAAAATGTCTGCCAAATACCCATGTCTGAATAACCACAGTTTTCTCTGCTAGCCATTCTTTCAGATGGTTCCATGACAAAAAATAACTAGTTGAGCTTGCAACTCAAACAACTGCACACGTACTTTTCCTCAAGACCATCATAGTTCAGTATGCAGCAATAGTAATTTTATGGATTCTTCCCATCCCATGGTACAGAATACTAAAAAGATGTGTATTTTTAAGATGTGTATTTAAAATTAATAACTTTTCCTTTTTTTTTAAGTTGAAGTATAGTCAGTTACAATGTGGCAATTTCTAGTGTACAGCATAATGTTTCAGTCATACATATATTTGTATGTATATACATGTATTTGTTTTCATATTCTTTTTCATTATGTTACTACAAGATATTGAATACAGTTCCCTTTGCTATATGGAAGAAATTTGTTTTTTATCTATTTTATATACAGTAGTTAATATTTGCAAATCCTGAACTCCTGATTTACCCATTCCCACTCTCGTTTCTCCTGGTAACCATAAATTTGTTTGCTATGTCTGAGTCTGTTTCTGTCTTGCAGGTAAGTTCATCAGTGTCTTCTTTTTGTTTTAGATTCCACATATGAGTGATATCATGTGGTTCTTTTCTTTCTCCTTCTGGCTTACTTCATTTAGAATGATGACCTGAGGTCTATCCATGTTGCTGCAAATGGCATTATTTTATTATTTTTTATGGCTGAGTAGTATTCCATTGTATGAATATACCACAGCTTCTTTATCCAGTCCTCTGTCAATGGACATTTAGGTTGTTTCCATGTCTCAGCTATTGTATCTAGTGCTGCTATGAACAATGGGGTGGATGTATCTTTTCGAATTAGAGTTCCCTCCAGATATACACCCAGTAGTTGGATTGCTGGGTCATATGGTAAGTCTAATTTTAGTTCTTTTTCAGGAATCTCCAAATTGTTTTCCATAATAGCTGATTAATAACTATTCTGCTTCACATCAAGGACACTGTTTCCCTTTTTTTGCAAATAATGTCTTAGTATTACTATGAAAGTAGCTTTGACTTCATGGATTCCCTTGAAAAGGTTGTGGGGATCCCTAGGGATCTGTAGACCACACTCTGAAAACTGCTACTATAGACCATTACAATGACTTTCTAGTTTTAATTCCAGTCTATGCTTCTTTCCTTGTCTCAGACCCACTGGATCCTGTAACAGTGAAAGAAATGTCTTGGTGCTTATTAAAGGACAAGCCCTCTACTTAAACTCTGAATCCTATCCCCTCCAGCCTTTCCTAGCACTTTGCTCCTTCAGTCATTCTGTTCTTCTCCTATATCAGCAATCCCTCTCTCTCTCATCAACACACAAACAAGCTCTAGTATTTCTTCCCATTCTTAAGAATCCCTCCCTTGATCCCATAGGCCCCTACAGTTACTGCCCCATTTCTCTCCTTTCCTTTGTAAACAAAGTCTTTCAAGAGCTGTCTACACAATTCAATAAAGCTGGAAAATAAAAACAAAACAAAATGACTTTGAAGGGTGGAAGCATCATAAATAAAAAAGATGTCATTCTTTCCCCAGTCTCCTGAAATGACTCCCCACTGGTTAAAGCCAACAAGAAGACAGAGGACAAGAGAGACTACTGATATATCTGTGAAAGTCAGCTGCCCAGGTAATGAGCTGAAGAAAAGGTGAAGAGCACATTAGTAGAGCAAGAGAAGGTATCTTTTATAGTTTACCCTTTTTACTGCTTATATCCTATCTTTCCTTTCATCTAGGGGGAAAGTTTGCAATCACTAAATAACTAAATAAAATAAATTCCCATCACCCTCTTTGAAAAATATAAAATAAAAGAGAGACTTGTCTACTTGCTGTTGCTGCTGCTTCACCTCCAATTCACTCTTCCTCCCTCCTCAAGCCCTCCCTCCAATTTTTGTGTCTATTCTTACCACTTCAACAAAACTGCTCCAGTCAAGACCACAGCCACTGCTTTGTCCTCACTTACTCAAACTCTCAGAAGCTCCAAGTAGAACTGACCACTCCTTCTTTCTTGAAATACTCTCCTTACCTGACCTTGACATTTTCCTGGTTGTTTCCTTTCTACTTCACTGACTCTCTTTCTTGGTTAAGTTTTTATCTCCTTAGCTTATAATCAATTTCTGAAAACTAGAGTGTCTCCAGAGCCAAATCTTGGACCCTCTTCTCCAAGCTCCATGGATGCTCTCTACAGTCCAGAGCTCTCCCCCGATTAGTACTGTCAACTGCCTACCTGACATCTCCACAAAGCTATTCAATCCAGGCTTCCAAACTTAACAGATTCAACCCCTGATTCTCTAATAAACCATATAAATTTCTCCCAGTCTTCTTTCCAGCTGCTCTAACTTCTCTAAGTCTCACAAGTAGCAAAGCTGAGATTTAAACTGTTCTTTTTTTTTTTAACATCTAAACCTGTGGGCATTCCTTCATACTATGCACTGCTACTATAGGTCCTTCCCAAGGTGGCCTTTAGCCAAGTGCAAACTCAAACAATTCCTTTACCTTAACATATTTTTATACTTGAGTTCCAAACCTTTGGAAACAATAGGTAGGATTCTGTTTTGTGTTCACATAAGTTTCCACGTCTATTGTGAACAAAGTTATCACACCAGGAAGAGATGATGGAGACAATGTGGGCTGGGTGGAGGCACAGCTAAAAGGAGAAGCCCAGCCAGCTAGCGGTAACTGTCTACTCAGCATCCACCAGGGCAGCATTTTTCAGCCTCGGCATTATTGGCACTTGGCTCTGCACAATTCTTTGTTGCACATTCTTTGTTGTATTGTGACTGTAGGATGTTTAGCAGCATCCCTACCCTCTATCCTACTCTAGTTCTAGTTTTCACAACGAAAATTGTTTCTGGACATTGCCAAATGTCCCACTGGAGGTAAAACATTCTATGCCCCACCCTCAACTGCACTAGAGGGATGGACTTCGAGTTATGTTCCAAAGGAAATATGAGTAAAGGGTAAATAATACACTATATCAAAAAATTATGTTTTCAAAGAATCTTTAGAGATATGGGAAAACAATCATTTTATAAAAGTATAAAAGGGTTTACCAAACTGTGTAAATGGTACGAGCCCAATTCTGGAGGGGAAAAAAAAATTACATTAAGCATGAAAAAAAAAACCTCGAATACTTAAGACTCATAATTGTTATTTATTGAACTAGCTTACTATGATCTAGGCACTGTATGAAGCACTTCACAAAATCATCTCATTTAATCCTCACAACAATTCTCAGCTATTGCTCCATTTTACAGATGAAGAAACTAGGGTAACTTGCACAAGGCTATATAACTGTAGAGAAGATAGGTCTTGAAACCAATTTATCCAGCTCCAGTGCCCACCTCTTAACTACTATTCTGCTTCATAATACAAAAAAGTAGTATACCAAATGTTAACAATGCTTATCTCCAGAGAGTAGAACTAACAGTGATGCTGTTTTCTTTATATTTTTCTATTCCATACTATGAAATTTACTACTTCTATAATCAGAAAAAAATTTTAAGTGAAAGTTGTGAAGACTACTTGGTAATATGGAGAAAAGAATTATTACAGAAGAGATACAAAACTCAATGTAAAGTATGATTACATTTATGTAGAAATATGCAAGAAATAAAAGGAAGTATACAAAATGCTAATAGTAAGTATATTAGAGAGGTGGGACTAAGTAGTAATTTTTACCTATTTTTTCCATATTACTATTAATGTAGTTTTATTTGATAATGGATAAAAGTTTATAATTAAAAGAAAGCAATAAAAATCATCTCTAATTTCATTACCTCAAATAACACTCTTAGTATTCAACAAATTGCTTTCTAGTCTTTTTCTAAGATCAATACAATCACTTGCAAACCGAATGTGAAGGAACCAAAGAAAATTCTTATTCAACTTGAAGATGATACTAAGCTGGACAGGACAGCTAAAAGTTGGATTCATAACATGATCATGAGAAAGGAAAGGGATGGAATTAACATTACGGAGTGTCTCTGTGTCAGACACAATGAAAAAGCTGAATTTCTGGACTGAAGGCCTGGCTCTCCATGGACCAAGGTGTTTGGTTTTTCTAAACCTTTCTTTAAAAAATACCTATTCCCTATCTACCTCCACACAGTATTTCTTTGAAGCTAAAATGAGAAAGCGTGTGTGTTTGTGTTTGTGCATGTGTGTATGAAAACACTTTGTAAACTCTAAATTCCTGTACAAAGGTAAGAATCACTATTGTCCAAGCCAACAGTAAAAACAGTGGGTATGCAATTCAAGTCTTTTTCCAAGCACAAAGGAAGTAATATGAGTAAAAAATAATTTCTGCGTGACCATGTCGATCACTAACCTTGATTCAGATTTGTCTGCCTAATGAAACTGCTGTAAAGGAGAGGTAACCTTCAGGAACAGCCTACAGAGAAAAACTGTTTATGCCTCGAATAGTACCAAGAGGATTCTCTGCAGGCAGAGAATAGAGAGCCAGCCATCTGCATCTAGGGTACAAATCGGATCTCTTACCTGCAGCTCTGCTTCCAGGCCCAGCCGTCTGATAAAGGGGTCAGTGACATGGTAGCGCCGCTCAAAGCTCAGGGCACCCCGCTCCTGGGGGGCAGAAATAAACTCATAGATTCACTGGTTCAATTAACGTGGTTTACTATGTGCCTGTTACATATACAGCATACTGTGCTGGGCACCATAGGAGCTAGAAAGGAGAACAAGGAATTGGCCTATAGAAGCTTGTACTCTACTTGGGCAGGGATTAGAAAATAATAGAAGAGAGTACATAATTAAGCACTAAGTTGTGCTTGTTGGGTTACAAAAAAGAAAGGGAAAATTTGAAACAACAAATAGGGAATGCTTCCATGTTTAGGTCAGAGAGGGTGGGCATTATCGTTGGCACACAGTTGTGGGGTATATACAAAGAAAAAAAATAACTCGCTTGGTCCTTCCAACTCTATGATTCTGGGCCTCTAGCAACTGGTCCTTGCTCTGGGGGGCCATCTAGTCTAATGAAATCACAAAAGAACCCACAAATGGACAAAACTCCAAAAGGATTCAGGGATTCAGGGAAAAATGTACAAACACAGACTAACGTGCCTCACATAGAGGCATACACTCAATCCTGCTGGATGGTGACCATAGCTTACACTGCATGTCACTTAATTTTCAAAGATCTTTGGCACTTAACCTTTACAAAGAACTTACTCATGTTCTTTTGGATTTCATTCTCAAGATCAGCCTGCAGGCAGGTAGACATTATTACTATTTAACAACAGAAAACTGAAGCACCAGGGAAGTAAAATGACTAAAGTCTTACAGGTAGTTAATTAGGGCAGTGGTGAGATTAAGCTCCTGACCCCAGCTTGGGGTTCTTAGTATAGAAGCATATCTCGTCTTAGTGGAATCTCTTCCATTAAACCCCTATGCTCCTTTAACTGAGGGTTTCCCTGACAGAGTCTGGGCTACCTTGCTAAATGAACTTGGCTGCCCAGGCATCCATTTACCTTATGGTATTGGAGTATCTCCTATGTACAAAGTGCAAAGGAGAGGTGCAGGCTTTGGTATAGGAGACCCTCAAAGGAGAGAAGAAAGAACTGAAGCTAAACTGGGAATAAGACTCTCCCAGGTTGTGGTTTATGTACAACTGAGCAGCTGGAACAACATGAAGAAGCTCTATTTACTCCTGCTGCACCCCACCTCCACCACACACGTATGCCTACACACACAGACACACACACACACACACAGATGTGCATGTACATGCTCCCCTCCCTCACCAGACTCCATCAGTCTCAGCAGCCTAGATATAAGTACTTGTACAGAGGAGTCTCCATGAATTCCATGTTCTTGGGTAAAAGAAGATGGGAGTCAAGAGGCTCTGATTCTAGTCCTGGGTCTGCCACTAATTACTTCTGTGACTTCAGGCAAGTCACCAACTCTAGTCCTCAGTTTCCTTGGCTATAAAATGAATTTGTTGGGAAGAAAGGACCTCATGCTTTGGTTCAGACGTCTGGGCTGCTTACCTTGATCTGCCTACGGATGAGGTCTCTAGTTATGTTGACTTTTGCCATCTTCTCTTAATAGATTCAACAGAAGGAAGCTATAGAAGGATCTTCAGGACACTTGAGCATTCCAACCAAGCCCAGGTCCACAAGACACACATTTAATTACCTGGGGAAAAAAACCATTAAACCTTGGGAAATGGAATAAGGTAGCTCTGGAGTCCTGATTTCACCCCTAAAACAGCCCACCACCCCAGCCAGTGAACTGGCAATTGCCTGTGATTTATGACCTGGTGGGCTGGCCCTGCTCCATAGTGTTGAAGAACCTCTGTAGGGAGTAGGGGGTGAGGAGAAGGGTGGAGAAACAATGACTCACAGCCACAGGAAGTACTGGAACAAACACTGACGTAGTCATGTGTACTTCTCCAGAAAATGGGGATGGGGGGGTGGAAATGAGTATGAAGGAAGATGGAAGCATATTCTGAAAGTAAGAAAAAGGCATACAGCAGGAAAGATGTCAAGTTTCACTTGCTCAGTAGGCATCTGTGGCAACCAGTCTGAAACTTTTATTATGCTTCAAAAATCCTTGACTCTCAGCTTGGCTCTCCCCAAAACCAAATCAGTATCACAGACAGAACACTCAACCCACTAACAGATTCACAGGATCAAAACACGTGCAGGAAATGTAACGGTGACCGTGTCCAACATAAAGAAATCCCTCTGCAACATCCTGATAGGTAGACTTTCAGTCTCAGAACCTCTTGAAGCAAACTTTTCCTTTGTTACCAACTCTGACAGCTAGAAAGACCTAGTAATCTCATTTCTGGTAATTTACCATAAGAAAGCACAAAATATGAGAAATAAAAGAGCTCCATACTCAAGCATATTCATCACAGATTTTTATAAGAGCAAAAACATTAAAACCAGCCAAGTTTCCAATGATAGAGAAAAGACTAAATAATGTACAGCCATATGATATTACGCAGCATTAGAAATGCTACTTATGAAGGAAAAAATGTTTATATCACACCAAATATTTATATAATAACATGATGCTTTTGCAATAAATACTATTATCATAGCTATGTTTAAAAAAGGAAATATAAAAATAATAATTGCCATCTTTGGATAATAGTATGACTGATTTTTTTCTTCCTACTTTTGATGTTTTCACTTTTTTTTCTATAAACACACATTAATTTCACAATCAGAAAAAAAAAAAACTAGAGCAAAAAACCCCACCAGGTTTTAAAAGAAAGTTTTGCCTCCTGTTATTTCCACTTTTTGGTCCTGGTTCCACCTCTGAAGCTACACAGGAGGTCTAGTCTTTCTTCTCCATGATGGTCCTTTGTGCTGTGATGATATGGCTCTTAGGGCCCACCAGGCCTCTCTGCCAACCCTCTAAAGCCAGCAGGACCTCCTGAGACCACTTCTAGATCTCCTGGTCCTGACTTTAAACCAGCTGGCCTCCTGCAGATTCCGAGCTCATCCTCCTGAAATCAAATCTTCTCCACCTGATCTGTGAACAGACTCCTTCCTTTCCTTTGACATTTAACTACAAAAGGAGGCTTACTCTTATGGTATCCATATTCAATCAGGAGGGGATAGATAATAAATATAATACAAATAAAACAAGAATATATCCAGCAGTGAAAAGTGCTATGATGAAAATAAAACAAGTTGATCTGAGAGTGGTTGATGGGCTACCTTTAGATGTGAGGTCAAAGAAGATACAGAGCATTGTGGAGTTTCTGGCTGCTCAGCATTTGAATTCCTTCCTATATTTTGGCAATTCACCATCTAAGAAGCCTGGTGGGAGGCAGAGCACCCTCTCATTATGAAGTGAGAATGGTGGAGACTAAGATTCTCTTTCTGATGCTCCCCTCCACCTAGAGTGTGTACAAATAGCTCAAGTTATGCCAACGAACACATGAACCCCAGATATTAATTGGGATCCACTGTCAAAGAATCAAAGGGCCATGGAGAGCTCATGCGACAAAGGGGTGCTGTAGTTGCCATTAAGGTCCAGTCAGCTGGTGATGGTGGTGTAAGCTGTAAAAGTGGCAGCAGTGACCTCATGGACTGGTTCTGTGAATAATTTTAGCTGTGGGTCCTTGCTGCTATCCAGGTTCCCTTCTTTCAGACAATTCTTCAAGCCTAGCCTTAAGACTTTCCCTAATATTTTCTGAGATTCCTAATATCCTTTTAAGAATGAGCCAGAGTTGGTTTCTGTTGCTTACAGCTACAAACCCTGCCTGATACAGAGCGGCTCTCTGAGAATTTGACATTTTATCTGAAATATGAATGACAAGTCACAAAAAACTAGGGGAGATCTTTCTGGAGAGAGAGAACAACCAGTGCTAAGGCTGGTTCAAAAAGCTTTTATTGTAGATGCTATTCGTGCCATCATTTTATAGAGTCATAGATAGGAAACAATTTTCACAGTGTCATACAGCTAATAAATGATCCGGAGCACGGACTCAAACCCAGAGTTGTATGTATTTTCTTAACCACTATGTACATATGAATTAATTACTATGGTATGTAATTTCCTAGAGAAATGATAACTATGAGAATCTCCAAAAGAGCCAACTAAATTCTTACTACTCACTCAACAATTTTCTTAAAACACTAACTGGGTTTTTACCAAGTACCACGCACTGTGCTAGACAGGGGGGAATACTGAGATGAAAGACATAGTACCTATACTAAGAAAGCAAAGAATCAAAGGCAAGGGGCTTTAGCTAAGATTGGTGTGTGGCTTGGAAATACTAAAAGGAACAAGAGGGGAGAAAAGCAGAGAAACAAGACAAGCAAAAAACCACTACAATTCAGGTAAATGGTAAATGGAAGCTGGCATTTAAAACAGTATCAGACTGGCAGGCAGAGGTTTAAAACCCCAAATGTCAAATTTAATAAACCTACTACCTAGTTAGTATTTTGGTGAACATTTCTGTTCCCATCCTGAGAAGAAATGCTAACACACTGGCAGATAACTCATTCTGGACCACAGTCCACCTTCTCCTCTCTTGAGGAAATAGGGATTCAGTGCCTTTCCAAAAACTTTTAGAGGCAGATAATCTCTAAGTAGAGATTATTTAAAAGGCTCGTATCAGGAGAGAAAATATCCTCAAGTATACAAGGGGCATTATACATACAAGTTTCATATTTCAGCCCAAAGTCTCTCAAATACAAATAATCAGATCAATAAGTGAAAGTTATTTGAATATGAGATTTAATCTTGGTCAAATTTTAAAAGCATTATTTTAAGGAAGGTTCTGAAATAGTCAATTCTACAGAGTAAAGAACTCATAGATATTAAATGATATGAATGAAAGATTTGGAATTGATGAAAGGAAGTTATATATATATTAATATATATGATTAAACCCTATAAAAGTCTACATCAAAGGATTTCTATCTCTGGTGCACTATGCAAATTACATGATGTTCAGTTCTGCTAAGAGGCAAAAAGACTGAAATAAGTGACTTCAAGAATCCTTAAGAAAAAATTGTCAATGCCTATTATGCCAGGCACTGTGCTAGCCTTTGAAAATACGGCAAAGAATAAGCCAAATAAAGACACTTCTCTTCAAGAGCACACAATATAGGTGCCATTAACTGAATTTCAATGGCACCAAGGCTATTGTAATCAGAGCTCCACAGAGGGACTGAAATTAACCAAATGACCAAAATGAATAAATAGGACAGTAAATTCAGAAGGAACAACATGGAATAATAAATTAAATCTTATTTATACTAATTTATTCATATATCTTAGAAGAAAGCACAAAGATGACAATGGGGGAAACAAAACTAAATATATGACAGTAGAGCCAGAGAGACAACTGGGAACTCACTAATGAAGAATGAGGACTTTAACAGACTGCGAGCAACCTTCAATGTATCTTCTTCATTCTAAGGATAGTACAGTCAACTGAATAAACCCTCACTTTCACACTTAAAGCTCTAATAACTTTGAGGGCTAATTTGTTTACAGAACACAAAAGCTCAATAAAAACTTTCTCTAGCTAGAATGCAAAGGTTTAAGAATGGTATCTTCTTGTAATTTAGGATACTGCAGGCCAACTCTACTTGATACTCAATGAAAAGCCAGAAGAAGGAAGCCAGTTTCTGGGAGTCAGGAATACAAAAAATATAAAAATACCTAAGGCACAGGGGAAAACATATGACTTAAAGGTACAAAGAAAATATGAGCTGCTCTGCAGATGTTACACCTCCCAAAAGGTATTCTACTCCTGGAGCTCTAAAATGCCGAACACTTAAAACCATCTCTTCCACAAACTTTTAATTTAGGCTTCTGGGAAACTTTCTTCCATGGACATATCTCTGCTATTATAAAGGAAGCTAATAAGAAAATAAAATTCAATTAACAACTCAATTTAGAGGAATTAATCTCATATTTCATAATCCAAAGGGTATCAGTAATATAAAGCCTGACGTTAACAAGCCCTAGAACAAAGTACACCTGGAGAAGATTACTCATCTGGAACCAAGGATGGAATGGTAATATACACACAAACATGAGGAACCACCCATTTCAGGTGTGCATAGTCCTTGTTTGGGCTCTGGTTAATGTAGCAGAAAGAGAAGCAGACTTAAAATACTTAGGCACTTGGGCCTGAATTCCTAGTTGTGCAAGTTAACTTAATCTTTCTGAATTTCAGTTTCCTCATTTGTAAAATAAGGATGCTAACCTATTTCAATGTGAGGAATAAATGATGAAATATATATGAAAGTATAATATAGTACCTGGATCGCAGTAGGTGCTTAAGAGACGTCAGCCAAATGTGAATTCTACTGAGACCTGATAACTCTTGTTTTCTATGCTCAGTGGCATGGTGACAATATTCCTCCCATACTTCCTCCCCTACCAGAGAGACAAAGCTGGCATTGGGGCTTCTAGTGTAGGATGGTGGGGCACAGAAAGCAGGATGTCTTCCCAGCCAGAGGAATATCAGGCGGACAGAGAAAAAAAAAAGAAAGAAAAATAAAGTAGGATATCTTTATCACCTCTGCTAGCTTTGAAATGTAAGATCCAGAGGAAAAAAGCAACTTTGTTAAAAACAAAAAAAACTCCATACAAAAATTTTACAAGAATGTTTATAGCAACATTATTCATAACAGCTAAAACGTAGAAACAACCCA